AAAAAAAAAAAAAAAAGAACAGAGTTCTACAGGATAGCACGTACGGCTTCGTGAAAAGCGGTCAGATTCTACATAACTAAACTATCATCTTTTGAATGTATTTTAGATTTACTTTTGTGAAATGATTACACTTCTCATCTATTTCCTTCTGTATTCCCTAAATTCCTATAATGTGGTGTAGCCACATGAAACCAGTTCCAAGTTATATTCCCTCATAAAACTGACCCTGTGAGTTAGTAGTCAATTCTATGCAAAGCCAGTGCAAGCTGCAATTTCTATACCAGCCACCAAGCCACAACTACTTCCCTAAAAAATGAGAGCTTGAGGGGTGTCAGGGTGGCTCAGTCAGTTAAGCGTCCAACTCCTGATTTCGGCTCAGGTCATGATCTTGAGGTTCATTGAGTTTGAGCTCCTTATCGTTCTTTGTGAGGACGGCGTGCAGCCTGCTTGGGATTCTCTGTCTCTGCTCCTACCCACCTGCACGCATGTTCTCTCTCTCTCCCTCTCTTTCTCTCTCAAAACAGATAAAATAAACTTTTTTTAAAAATGAGAGCTTGAAACATTTCTGTCCATTATCATCACATTGTTTTGCCGAAAGAGAATCTTTCCCAATAGAAATAAACAAATAGACACAGTTTAAAAGTATACTTTAGGGGCGCCTGGGTGGCTCAGTCGGTTGAACATCTGACTTCGGCTCAGGTCATGATCTCACAGGTCATGAGTTCGAGCCCCACGTCGGGCTCTGTGCTGACAGTTCAGAGCCTGGAGCCTGCTTCAGATTCTGTGTGTCTTTCTCTCTCTGCCCTCAACCCACTCACATTCTGTCTCCATCTGTTTCAAAAGTAAATAAACATTAAAAATATTTTTTAAAAAAGTATACTTTACAATTTTGTAGGAAAGTAGGAGAAGGGAGGAGGAAGAAGGACAGGAACAGAGGAGAGGCAGAGAAGCCAGAAAGCGGGAAGGAAAAGCCACACCAAGGGGGTGAGGCACCTGGGTCTTTGTGACTGGGCTTCAGGTCCATCTGTGAAGCACACAGAATCTCTTCCTAGATAATGTGGGCGAGCCCCTGAAGGAGCCACAGAGCCACCCCTGATAATCTGGGTCTTCGGCACAAAGCTCCCCAAGGCAGTTTCCAAACCTTGAAGCCACCTCATTTTTCCTACATCTGCATTCTGTGCGACCACCGGCCCTCATATTCGTTGTATGTAGCATCTCTCCAGTAAGTCTTAGGAGGTCTTCTCTCTGTCACTTAACAGACGAGCCTGCAGCGGCGGTCGCTCCCACTGGCCCGGGAGCTCCTAAGTAGAAACCGCAGTTTTGAATACGAAAAGCAGTATCGAAGTGCCGAAGTACCGAAGCAGTATCGAGAAGCACCCAAGGTGCCACTGACGAATCAATGAGTGGACATTCTTGGGCCTCATTAAGCGCCACAGCCTTAACCCCACAGCAGGTGTGCCAAAGCTGTCAGGGGGCCACCTACCATGCAGGCGACAGCAATAATTTAACTTGCCTGCTCACAGAGCTCCAAACGTGAACCACAGAGGACGGCGATAGGTCGCAGGGTCACCGGTACCAGAGCCCTCTCAGGACCAGGCCCTGGACAAACTTCCAAGTTCTAGAGGAACTAAAAGTAGCCCCCTAGAGAATTTACTCTCTGCCTCAGTGAAAACTACCAGGAAGCTCAGCTCCATGAAGATAAGGGTGTGACTCACTCACTACTTTATCCCCCGTGTAGCCAGTGCTTATAAATACCCGGTGGTGGGGCTGGGTGGAAGGACGGATGGAAGTGGGAATGAATATGTGAACGAGCAGGTACGTGAGTGAGCAAAAGGGCAAGTGAATGGCGTGAGGAAGGAGGAAGCATGATTGCTTGGGACATTAGTAAAGTGATTGGACAGGCAAGCCGCTGAGCTGCCGGTGCCTCAGACACCCTAAACTTATCCCCAAAGTTATAGTGAAGAATCAACTCCCTTCTTCACGTAAGTCTCTATAGGATAGAGGGTCATATGACCAATCACTCATGTTTTAAAAATCACTCTCACAGGGGCGCCTGGGTGGCTCGGTCGGTTAAGCGTCTGACTTCAGCTCAGGTCATGATCTCGCAGTCCGTGAGTTCAAGCCCCGCGTCAGGCTCTGTGCTGACAGCTCGAAGCCTGGAGCCTGCTTCAGATTCCATGTCTCCCTCTCTCTCTGCCCCTCCCCTGCTCATGCTCTGTCTCTGTCTCAAAAATAAATAAAAACATTTAAAAAAATTTAAAAATCACTCTCACAATTCTGACTATGAAAATGTGAAATGGATTATTACTATTCTTTGGTCCCTGCCAAAGCAGGGAATAATCCTAGAATCTAGACGATTGCAACTTCCTTTGTACTAGATGGCCACAGATGGGAATAATCAGATGTCTGATAGTAAGTGGGGCAGTGGGTTAAATCCGGGTCATTCCATAGGACTCTTTCCAGGCCAACCCAGGAGGCTGGAGCCACGGCTGGCCTGTCTGGTCCAGACAACCCGGCAGCCCCAGCACGGAGGGGCGAGGAGGTGGGAAGGATGCCGTCCATCCACATTCCTTTTTCAACTCTAACAGCTCTGCTAGGGTCCTCGATGGTGATGGAGCCTGCACGACCAGACCAATGGAAACAATGGCATGTTGCCACCTCCTCTGTCCACTGGAGACAGCAGAGCAATTGCAGATCTGATTCACACTAAACCTTTTATCATGATAAACTGTTAATGACCAGAGAGACGGTTTCTTCTCTATCAGGTGGGTGTGAGTGTCCCTCGTCTAACATTTTCAAGATACGTTGTGGGACGTGTGGCTGAACAGCAATAAGAAATGCCCTTGAGCCACGGCCAAGGCAGGAAGCAAACTCGATACGCAGAAGCATGATTGAGCAATTTTCCAAGTGCGATGAGCTGAGGGCTACAGCCCTTGTCCCTGTGTGCGATGGGACACGGTGGCTTCTGAGAGCAGCTTGAGGTGACACTTAGAGGTGTTTTCTCAGAGAAGAGGGAAATACTTTTGGGCCTGCCTGGTGGGGCCACTGTCCTTGAGGGTGGCCACTGTGTCACACACCTGTCCTGATCCGGAAGCCCCAAGATGTATCTGTAATGAATGTATTTCATGTGTCCTAACATGCACATTTTTTGATTGAACATTTCTCATACTGGTGCACACCCGCAACAGATGTGGTCTCAAAACTATCCGGCAGAGTTTTTGTCTTAGTATATATAAAAACAATGGTGGGTCCCACAATCAATGGCATCTGGAATGCAATTAAACACGGCACTTATAATTCATTCCTATAGTGACTGCTGCATTCTGCACATTATTATTCTGCCTTAGCGGTTCTCGGAGGACAGTCTCCAGACACACACAATCCTCTTTTCAGGACCTCACACTAACTGGTGTTGCTGAGAGCCGAGAACAGTTGCTGAAGATGCTTACAGTCTCGCGGCTGCACGACGGCAGCTAATTCTGCTCTGTTGATCAAATCATCTCTCCACACAGAAAGAAAAAGCAGCGACAGCAGCCCCAAGACTTCTTTCCAGAGCAATGACATATGCATCTTGTATACATGGGATGTGGCCTCTTCCTTATAACCTAGCTCAACTTCACACACACCTCAAGCTTCCTTTTGAAACTAACGTTCCAAACCTTGAGCTCTTCCATATCTAACATAAGGAAGGAACAGGCTCCACAGCCAAGGCCAGGATAGTGCCTCCAGAACTGAGCTAAGTGATCACGCGTCACGTAGGAACCCCCGCAAACCGACAGAACTCCATGTGCTGTCCAATAGCGTTTGGAACTTCGTACCTACTTTGAAAGAACAAAACTGAGATGTTAGTGAAGAAACACTGTACCTGTGTTGGGGGATAAGTCATCCAGCAGCTTCACCATGCCTTCTCCCTGCTTGGAAGTCCACATCTTGATGGGGGACCCGCCTCCGATCCTGCGGTATTGCTCCTGAATTTTGGGGGTCCGGCGTTTGGCGATGATTGGTGCCAGCTTACTAAATCATTTAACAGGTAGGTAAGTGGCTTTTGTTCCACCTTAGCAACCTCAGAAACTACTCAATAGAAAAGATAAGCAAAATTGTAAGAAGAGCCTAAGAAGATCAAGCCTTTAAAAATAGAGGCTTGAGGTCATTGACGACAGCCAGCTCTTTTGGCCTCGATTAGAGAGAGGAAAACAAAACACTCTCTGGGGATTAGCCACCTCTGCCCCACGAGTTCCTCTCGCAACTCACCCTGAAGATTCAGGACACCACTCAGGCGCAGACCCTAGATGCGGGCCAGCCACTATCTTAACACTTCCTGATCCTACACCTAGCAGGAACTAGGATATGTAAGACATTCGGAAGCAAAAAATACTCTTACTTTAAGAAAATGTATTAAAAAAAAAAAAGAAAGAAAGAAAATGTATATTAATCACAGATACATTTGAATATGTGAGCAAAGTTGAATGCACAGCACAGGAATGTTCATTGCAACACTGTAAACAACATATATGTCCACCAGTGAGTCACTGGTTAAATAAATTAAGTTATGACCAGGCAAGGCATTCTATACAGTCATGAAAAAAAATAATAAACCGGGCCTATATAATCTGTTATAATCTCCAAGATACATTGTTAATTTAAAAAAAAAAATAGCAAAGTGTTAAATAATATACATAAGTACATTCCCATCTGTGTTAAAAAGGACAGGAGAGATATATATGTGCATATATACATATACATCTATATTTATAGATATATAGACACATGCTTGGATATGCATGGACTGTTTCTGGATGGTCACCAGAAATACATCTGTACAACTGCAGATTTCTGTATTTCTGGTTACATCTGTAACCTCCATGGTGGGTAACTGGGAGGCTGGAGTTCAAGAAGAGACACTTGCTTTTTACTGTGAACATGTTTATGTTGTTTGCATTTTTTATTACGTGCATGCATAAATTTTTCATTACAAAAACCTACTTTAACAGAGAAAGAAAAGAAAGAAGGAGGGAGGCTTGAAAGGAAGAGGACAGCCACAATATTATTAGTGAATAATAATCATTGCTTCCCTGAATATTAATCAGCTGTTGAGGGTCAAGTACAAATATATCGGTAACAATCTTTAAAGGGACATCAGGGGTGCCTGGCTGGCTCAGTCAGTTGAGTGGCCAACTCTTGATTTTGACTCAGGTCATGATTCCAGGGTCGTGGGATGGAGCCTATTTAAGATTCTCTCTCCCTCTCTCTCCCTCTGCCCCTCACTCCCGCTTGCACGCTCTCCCTAAAATAAAATTTTAAAAAAATTTAAAGGGACATCAGGTATGTCAAGACAACTGCCATTTCCAGAGCTCTAGGGAGGAAAGGGCTCAAGGAGAGGCCCCCCAACTTGCTTTCTCTCTCCCCTGCATTTCTCTCAACATCATATCCTTCTTATACAATGGAAAATAATGATGCTGCTCTAGTCACCACCAGATATGCACAAAAACCATTTATTTTCTGTAACTATAGAACTGACGTACACGTAAGGCAAGATGCACTACACAAGTTAGGAATAAGTTCAGGTGTTTCCACGCGTCTTACTTTTGAATAGGAAGCGTCATCAAGTCTCGGTCCAGGAAGAGCCTCAAAAGGAAGTCGTGAACATCTCCCAGGGTTTCAGGGCCCCCCATGTTCAGCATTAATATTCCAGTCTTCGGCTTCCTACATAAAATAAAATGCAGTTGACTTGTAGCTTTTTATTTTTCTGTAAGGTACACTGTTGGTTCAGCTAGCAAACTCAACATCCAATCTGTTCAGAGGTACAAACCTACAGATCTTTTCACTGCTATCACCTGGCTGCGTATCTGGGAATGCACAACGCCTCCGGTTCTGCACGGTCCCAGTTCTGACTCTGACCTTGGTCTCCCAGCTCCATCCATGGCACTGGTCTTCTCTGGGCTTGAAATGTTTCCCCATTAAGTTGTCAGTCCTGAACAAAAATCCCTCCCATTCTTTAAGGACTGAGAGTCAGGGTATAAAGCTCAAATTGTCCTGAGGCTGAAGCAAACATTTATGTGAATGCCTTACAGATACACAAATTACTTGGTCTCTCCAAACTTCAGTCTCCTCGTGTACAGGGACTCCAGCAACGACCTCAAAAGGTTGTTTTGAGAATAGACAGCATAGTTATTTAGCATGATCTGGAACATATAGTAAGTTCTATCATACACAGAGAAACCACGGGTTTCCCTTTTAAATCTCCACAGTATAATAACCAGCCCATCTCTCATTCTTTTATCTGCTCCTTTCCCTTTAAACTATTATTATTGACAAATGATTTCTTGCTACTCTGCTTCCTTCTCCAGAGCCCACTGTTCCCCCGTAGTGTCTCCTGTACGATAAAGTACACCTCTCACTTTGCACTCACCTCTTGATCCTCTACCTAGAGCCACTGCTTAAGGGATTCTGGCAAGAAATTGCTCTTACTCAAATAGGTCCCAGGCTAAAGAATCAAGCACTGAAGGAACAAGAAGAAGCAAAAAGAAAATCAAGTAGTCTGGGGGAAGTTAAATCAACAAAAGGACCATGCCAGCTCTGAACCTCTAAAATCCAGAGGAGCTCTGGACCCTGCACAGACTAAAGTGAGCCAGGCCGAGATGAGTTCTCCATTCCTAAACACCTTCAGGGGGCAAGAAGGGGCCAGAGTGGGACCAGGTGCCGCCCGCATGCTTCCGGTAGCCGCCGGAAGCCCAATGCTAGAGACATGGAACCATGGGGTCAGAGCCTAAGATGAGGCCCTGGAGAACTGGGGGCCGTGCAGTGAAAAGAGTCTGCAGGTGGGGACACTACAGGACAAGGAGTGTTTCTTCCATTCATGGTTTTTTGGTTTGGTTTTTTTTTTGGCATTCGTAAAAATGTAGATATAATTTATATACCATAAAGTTTTCCATTTTAAAATACAATTCAGTGCTTTCTAATATACACACAAAGTTATGCAACCATAACAACTCTCTAATTCCTGAACATTTTCATCACCCCCCAAAAATATTCCCACATACTAGAACCATTCTTGGCATTCTTGGCAACTAATCCTCCGCTTTCTCAGTCTATGCATTTGCCTATTCATAGAAATGGAATCACATGATATGTGGCCCTTTGGGCCTGGTTTCTTTCACTTGGCATAAAATGTTCAAAGTTCATCCACGTGACAGCGTGAATCAGTACTTCTTTCCTTTTTATGGCTGAATAATACTCCACAGCACGGATGGATGTACTCTCCATTCACTCTTGATAAAGCAGTGAGAAACAACCAGCCTGAAGTTTATTTAAAACTCCACTGGTACAAAGGCTGAGGGGTCCCGCTGTCTAAGCCTCCTACATCAAGGCCACCTCCAGCTACCGCAGTGACTAAGCCAATCCTGCAGACATGGATCCTGTTTGGAAGACCGTCCCTAATGTGTGCTAAAGCCAATGAGATCAGGATGACATTTTAATTGCAATTTTTAAACAAGTGCTAACAACACTTGGGATAATGTTAGGCAGCAGAGTGTGTCAAATTCATACAGGAAGAAACTGTTTTCTTGCCAAACATACTACAGGTGAATGAGGTAGAAATCTGAATTCTCAACCTAAATTTGCAAAACAAGCTGAGGCAAAATTGCTGGGGTTAGCGGAATGCTGCATTCCAGTGAAGTCAGAGATCTCCTAATTTAGACCCCACTGTAAGGACAAACTAAGTTTGCCTTTCACATATTGTCTTAGACAGCATTTCTCTTCCTCGGCACCACTGACATTTTCGGCTGGATGAGTCTTTGCTGTGGAGGGCTATGGTGTATGTTGCAGGGTTCTAGTAGCATCCCAGCCTCTACTTGCCGGAAAGCATGGCACACACCCCGTCCCAGTTGTGACAAACAAAAACGTCTCCAGACATGGCCATTGCCAAATATGTTGGAGGTGGGGAGCATCCCCCTCCCTCTACTGAGAACCACTGGGTTAGAGGAAGGGGGTTTCATCTCCTTTTTACTAAGCAACTACTCTGGAGGATGTCATTGTCCCACAACTTTCCCACCTCCTCTCACCAAAAGTCCTATCAATGAATTAACAAGCTGGTGTTTAGGTTTTTTTCTTAATACCTAAAAATTCCAGATTCATTATATTATGAAATTGTAAAATGCTCCCTTAATCTTTCCACTTAGACCACCCGTGCTCTGAGATCCTGTCTCTCACCCTCAAAATCTGTGACTCACAATAAATTAAGCGCATTTTTCCATGGATTGCTGCCAGTTAACAGATTACTGGTTAAGAAACCCCAGGCTAAGAGACTTACCTAAGCCATAGAGGGTATCAATGTGCAAACGAGATTTAGAACTGCTTTTCATCTATAACACCTGAGCTCAGAACAAGAGTGGCTTTAAATTGGATATGACTCTGCCCTGCAAACCCGTGTTTTATAAACCGTGTTGATCTTACACATGAAAGTGATGCACATGATTTGGAAATACCTAAATACACGTGCACTTAATTCAAAACTGTGTTATGCATGACGAATGGCGCATTAGCTGCCCCAGTCTGACACCCTCTATTCGAGAATGCGAAGTGCAAAGCCTTAGCCGTGGTCTCTGTTCTCCTCTCCTCCAGACAGAGCCCATCTGAGACCAAGCTCTGAATGTCAAGTTCCCTTTGTTTGAACGTAAAAGTGTAAATAGGGGAACATATTTAAAACTTCTCGCTTGAAAAGGTTTCAACATTCTGCCATTTTTATATTCTGGGACTCTCAAAATAGGAGGTTTTTCCTTTGAGCTACTAATTGTACGTAACAGAAACTTAAGATCATCAATTAATAAAGAAACAGAATCATTCAATTATACTGTATATAGTCAGCATCAAGATAAAGACACAAATTCTACCTGTTCATGAAACCTCCAAGATGTAATTGGCCCGAGGATCTATGCTGCTTCTAGAACAGGGTTTGGGAAACTACAGCCCACGGGCCAGATCTGTACATACACACCCTGCCTATTTTTGTAAATAAAGTTTTATTGGAACACAGCTCCACTCATTATTTTACATAGTCGCTAAGGCTGCTTTCACATTATAACAGCAGAGTTGAATAGCAGCAAAAGAGACCAAATGGCCCACTATCTATCCCTTTACAGGCGAGTCAGCTGACCCCCGGTCTAGTGGAGGTCTCATCTGCTATAGTCTGAGCACTGCGCAGCACGAGGCCTTCAGGTCTGGCACCAGAATGATATACAGAAACACTGATCACTTCATCGTCTCTACTATTTTAAAACTAGAAACAATGCAAGTGCCCCATAACATGGGAATGGATAAATAAACTGTGATTTCATAAAATACTCGTATGCTATTAAAATAATGGTGAATATTTACATTTATATGGTAGATATATTATTAAATTTAAAAAGAAGAAACTTAAAAAATACTATGTGCACGACTGTCACATTTTGGTAAATATTTACTGAATAAATATCAATCGGTACAGACATAGACACAAAACAGTGGGTGGTGGGATTATCGGTGATTTTTTTAATCTTTTTTTTTGCCCGTCTACATGTCCTAAAATGAACCCATTTCTTTGGTATAAAGATGATACAAAGTTAATTAATGGAATTTAGATATTTTTAGATTTGTATTTAATTTAATGATATTAAGGTTATATTATTGGCTTTTGCTACTAGGATAATATAGCAATGAAATAATTTTTCTCCCAGGGTTCCACACTGAATCAGTTCTTCAGGTTACATCAAACACTCACCCTAAACCCTAAGGACTTAAAGCACTTTGGACCATGGCTAAGGTGAGAAAAGCGGGGCTGTGGGGACACACAGGAATGGTGTCCAAGCCGCCAGGACAGAGACAGCGTCCCTGCTTCCTCTTTTCCTCACCAGATTCGATCACTCAGGAGGCCAGAGAGTGGAAAAGAGATGAGCCGAGGCCCCACCCCTAATGCTCTATCCCCCTTCAAACCTCAGTTTACTCAGTGTTCAGTCAACGTACCCAAGTTCACACAATGAAAAATAACAACCACAAAATAGGACTATTTTCATAGCTCTATCGCTAGAGGAACCAACCGCCAAGGAGTTACTAGTTTGCAACCCGTCTCCTTCTTTCGCTTGGCTAGCGTTAAGGTGGGCTATTTCTAGGCACCCAGCTAAACAACTGCCCATTCGAGTCCTGTGCTGCCCCTGTATGAGAGGAAGACCTAAGAAGCGCTGTGGCTTCCGTGATGGAAGAGGAGGCCCGGAACAACGCCAGGCCTGCTGACATCCACCCGCAAACAGCAGGGGTGACGTCCGAAACAGGTACTTTATCCCTTTAATAAATCACAAATCGTATTATGTCATTTCGAATTCCGCTCACCCTGTTAACAGTGGAAAACAATGGCAGGGTTTACTAGATAAATTCTTGACGGATTAGTCACTCCTTATCCTAAACAGAACATACATTTCATAGGTATAATTATGTTAGTTTCATAAACACATTTCTAGTGTCCATGAAATTTGTGTTACATGACATATTCCAGAACTAAATTCCTACATGATCTGCAGACTGTTGGTCCTGAGTTACGTGTCCTTTAACAAAAGCCCGGTGGGATTTTTATTTGTCAATCGTATCTCAAAAAAGCCGGGGAAAAAATTTTCACAACAATTTTTTAAATCTATAAAAATTCCCCCAAAATGTTAAAACCTTAGCGGTGTGTGTGCGTGTGTGGGTGCAACTTGTAGCCTTCCAGCTACTGAAAGAAAGCCAAGAAAACAACACTGCGCTCCTTCCACACTAGCATTCCCCCGCAGCTCTCCTCTTAAGGCAGCCTGTATCCACTCACCGGTGTCTGCATCAACAAAAAGAGGTTCTTATTAGTACCCAAAATTAGATTCATACCTCTTCCCCGGTTGAACTTGAGGTTCTGGGCTTCTGGTACGCTGGGCTGTTTCTGTGGCAGCTGCCGCCGTGGCTCCAATCGACTGGCCCCTCCATGGTTGGCGGGCCCTTGAGCTTCCAGGCACCACTGTGACAAAAGTAAAGTAGCGGCATGAAATCCGGCTGGGAAGCAATGCCTTTGGAGGGGGTCCTCCGAGCAGAAGTCCTGGACTTAAAATTTAAAGAGACGCTATAGCACAGGTGATTTCCCCGGCGTTTCTCGGCACTCAAGCCCTCTCTGCCAGGGGTGGGGTGGCGCCTCCTGGGATGGCCTCTCAGGACGTGCACGGAGCCTTTTGAGAAACACACCTTCTCACTCTGCCCTGGCAGATTCTGACGTGATCCCTCAGGAGAATCACCGCATGCATACGGAAGTTAGTGCGCTGCTCACACGAAAGGGAGAAGCCGTGGGACGTGTTCAGACCCACCGGTTTACAGGGTGTTACTTGAGCCAGCTTTCAACCAGTTGCACAGACCTCGCATCTGCCTATAAGCCTCCTCCAATAAAGCCCAGGGCTGAAAACCCCAGCACTGCCCTTGGACACTGACAAGGGTGGGGGGGTTCTATTTTAGAGGGCCCCTTCTGGCCCTCCTCGTGCTGCAGCCTCACCCACAGGGTATGCAGTCTACACAGCCAAAGATCCATGGACCCCAGAGCCCATGACCTACATTCCTGACCAGGTTCCCCGTACCCGGAATTCCCTGTCCCCAAAGGCCCACACCCACTCCGGGGACTGTACAGGCCTCTTTCCTAGCTCTATTCTCCTGAAAGCTGATTGTGCCATCAGTGCGAGCAATTCTTGACCTAAGGGAAGCTATTTGCAGGAGCAAGAATAGAACCTGAACCTAGACTGGAGTGTCGACATGGGTGAATGCACAAGACTCTTCACAACTCAGGGCACAGCTGGCAGTGGAAAGAGAAGCAGGGAAGCCTACAGAGCAGAGGCAACACTCCCAAGGCCACGACACTTCTGTGGGAACTCTGAAGACTTCAACAGTTCACCCTTCCAGATCATTACGAAGGTCTATTTGCCAGTATTGGAGAACAGAACATACTTCACAGCTTGTTAGCAGGCGATCCCACATATGATACATGGGTCTCCATGTGCACTCTTGTCCTGCACCCCGCCGGAGTCAGCTGTGGGCCTGGAGAACCCACCTGGACTGAGAAGTCCATGGGCCATACTTAGTTGTACCATGAAGAATATTCATCCTTGAACGGCATACAGTGAAATTAAACTGAAGCTATACAACAGACACTCAAGGTAGCAATGGGGGTACGCTGTGCCCCACACCGTACACATGACCCATTCTCAAACCAGCCGATATGAAACCAGCTTGAGATCAGTCTCCCTCTGCCCTCCTCCTCCTTCCAAGTCAGAGGAGTCCCGGTGAGGAACTCGGGCTGTGGACCAGCAGTTCTGACCTCATGCAGCTCTGACACTTACCAGCAACGTGACTGGGGCCAGGCTATATATTTTCGAGCCTTAGTTTCCCCGGTAAAATGACAACACCCTGCTATCAGGATCCTTGTGACGATTACAGCAGATAAGACCAGCGATGCACTCTGCACAGCACCTGCCACGTACGGTTAGTGCTGGCATTAGTCTCATTTGGAAGTGTCTAGGGCACAGGGACTATACCTGCTCTGATGTTTTTTCACCTACCCTGCCTATAAAATATAGGAGAATGGTATCTCCAGATTTCCAACTCTCCATATTGTGCACATTCCCAACAGAGCCAATTACGTGAGCTTGTGCTGAATAGTCCTTATTAACTCAAAGTGGAAGTGCAAAGATTGACATATAGAAGTTCAATTCTGCTCAAATGAAGTCTCAAGCCAACTCGCAGCTCCTTATTTTAGACAAGTTCAATTCTGAACTGCATGAGATGTAACCGGGTTCTCAATCAGGCCACAATGTCTGCGATTCCTGGTATGAATGAGATATTGGATTCCATGGGGTACTAGAATAGAATTTAGGCATTACATGATTTGACTGCTGGTGATAAGCCTTCCTCCTGTGAATCTTAAAAAGGGAGTGGCAGAAGGGAATCCGGGTGAGACCAGAGTCATCAACTAGTACATTAGTATTTCCTAGCACAATTTGGGAGGGTAGTTTTTCAAGTTGTCATGCCCTACACTTAACAAAATCCTCTTCTCTGTGGCCAAATTCTCAGAAGGCAATGCTGCTAATAATGGATCCTTTGTGCTCAGGACGTAGGGTTAATACACCCCCCTCTCAAGGACTTCTCTGTAACACTCCTCTCCCCTAATGATCTGAAGTTTCCAAAGAAACTAAGAGTAGTCTCTGACCAAACGACCAACAGACATGTAGCTAAAGGAGTTTTAAGTAATTGTTCAGACAAAGGACGAGCTGAGACTCCTGAAGACACTCAGTTCACAGCTTACGAGAAATCCAAGGGCACAGACAGCATTGTATAGCATACAGCATATGTTCCAGAGCCAGAGACATCTAGCAGAAATCCCAGATAGGACCAAACAGGCTGTGTGTGGGAGTAGTTGGGCAACTCAAAGAACTACTCCAAGCCTCGCTTTTCTCATCTGTATGATGGTGCTCAGGCCAACCCTGCAGGGCTGTTGTGAACATCAGGAAAAAAAATCTTTACATCTATGTCCAGACCCAAGAACAGTGCCTGGCACACTGCATACGGTTAAGAAGTAAGAATACTCAACAGCAGGGACCTGCCCACTTATGAACTGAGACCAGGTATTCTAACCCTATTTATTTTTTTCTAATTTTGTAAACGTTTACTCATTTTTGATAAAGACGGAGCACGAGTGGGGGAGGGGCAGAGAGAGACACACACAGAATCTGAAGCAGGCTCCAGGCTCTGAGCTGTCAGCACAGAGCCTGATGAGGGGCTCGAACTCATGGACTGTGAGATCATGACCTGAGCTGAAGTCAGACGCTTAACCGACTGAGCCACCCAGGGACCCCTTCTACCCCTACCTATGACATTAACTGCTCCTCTACCTTTTAAAGGCCTACAAACCATAAAAGCTATAAAACTAGGAAAATGCAGAAGAGAATATAAAGAAAGCAAGACTTTGTAACTCCTGGACAAACCCAAAAGGTGAAGCATTCAAAAGTATATATATGATTTAAGAGGTTCATGGGTATTAACTGGTTCTCCAAAACCAAATTATTTAATATTTTGGATGCTTAGGGGCAGGGCAGGGGAGGTTACAAAGCAAGGCACACAAGTACTTTAATATATAATGAAGCCATTTTTTTTAAGTTTATTTATTTATTTTGAGAGAGAGAAAGAGAGAGAGAGAAAGGAGGGTGGGGGGACAGGGGCAGAGAGAGAGGGAGACAGAGAATCCTAAGCAGGCTGTGCATTGCAGAGCCTGATGTGAGGCTTGAACTCACAAACTATGAGATCATGACTTGAGCCAAAGTCAGATGCTTAACCGACTGAGCCACCCAGGCACCCCAGAGCCACTTCCTATCACATAGGAGATGAGATTTATTTCAAAAGGTACTTATAAAAATAGATAACATTTAAAAAACTAACAAATAACTGGGGCACCTGGGTGGCTCAGTCAGTTAAGCATCCGACTCCTGAT